CACACACACACACACACACACACACACACACACACACACACACCCGCCACTGGCCCCGCCCCTCTGCCGGCACTGCATCCCTCCCCAGTCAAAGACGAGACCAGAGCTTAGAAGCAAATCCTTCCAGCTCTTATCTGCTCCCCACAGGAGAGCAAATGCGAGCTGAAGGCTGTTAAATTATGAGACGGGAGGGGATGGTATCGCTCAGCCAGCTAACGCCGCGTCCGGGCTGGGGGGCCAGCTAGAAATTGGCAGGTAGCCCCCTCCCATATATTAAAAGGGGGGGGGGGGGTTCTTAGGCGGGATAAGACGTGTTAAACAGACTTATTCTTGTCATTTTAGCAAGATTATATTCTGCCGTTTGACCTGCCTCTCGATGTGTTTTTATTAGTCCCCGGTCTCGTCCTATCAGTCCCGGCCTTGCTTTTGGTGTGCCTGCAGTGCATGCTGGGTAAATATCCTCAGCCTTTGACGTGGGTGTCGCTCCCGGTGGCTGTGAGTCGCAGGCGGGTCGCTCGTGCCGGTGGGAAGGCAGCAGCAGCCCGGCATTTCACTTGCACGCGCCGTAGAGGCGGGCCTGCTTTTTTCCGTACGACCGGCTCGCAGGCCGGGCTGGGCTGAGGATTCGGGCTTTTCTTCGGGTCTGCGGCTTCCCGGAGCCTGACGGCTTTAATCCCGCTGAAGTGCCCGGCTTCTATAATCCTGCCATATGGCCCCCGGAGTGACAAAGGATGGATGTGCTCATTCGGGAATATTGGAATTAAGGGATCCGGGCAGGTTTGAATGAAGACGTCAGTCTCCTTCTGTGATGGATGAACGGAGCGGTGAAAAGGCCAGCCGTGCGTGAGGGACGCATGATTTAATAGTCTCTGAATAACTGTTGTGGGGAGGGGGGGGGGGACTTGCTGGATCTGTGGTCTGGAATCCCAAACCTGATAGGCCTGCAGTTAGCCCCCCCCCCACCCCCCGCTCCGCTCCCCCCCCCCCCCCCCCCCCCCCATACAAATC